GTGGAAAGGCTGAAAATTAACTAATTATGCAAATTAGGTGATTAATATACACAAATATTTATCCAAAACAATCTCTGCATAGTCCTTGAGTATGTAAGTACCAAGTTTCATTGAAATGTAATGCTCACTACTTATATCAAAAGCTGAAAATTAATTAATTATGCAAATTAGGTAATTATATGTACTGATATTACCATAAAAACTATCAGGTCTGTGCAGTGTCATATGACATCTATGTACCAAGTTTTATTGAAATGTGATGATTAGTACTTGAGATATCAGTGGAAAAACTGAAAATTGACTAATCATTATGCAAATTAGGTAATTAGTATCCACGGATTATTACCAAAAACTAATCAAAACCTAGCATTAGTTCAGAGCATCTATGTACCAAGTTTCATCAAAATCCAATGAGTGGTTGTTTAGATATCAGTGGAACAGTCATAGAACAGCTAAAAATTAGCTAATTATCATGCAAATTAGGTAATTAACGAGCATGGATTATTACCAAAACCTAATCAAATCTGCGCATTGGCCCAGAGCATCTATGCACCAAGTTTCATCAAAAACCGATGTATGGTTCTTGAGATAGCAGTGGAACAGTCGGACACACATACACACACATACACACTAACTGCAAAGACTCCCATTTTGTGCTTCGCACATGGGAGTCAAAAACCCAGACCACAAAAATGACCAGAGAATTGAAGCAAAATGTAGGAATACCAGTAATCAAAGCAAATTTAATGTGCTCACCAACGATATATCTTCATCTGGATGCATCAGTTTGCTGGAGGCGCCACCACTGGCAACTGTAGATGGTTTACTGATTGTTGGTGCAGGAGTGAGTGTTGTCTTGGCTGCAGCAGACGCAGTGGTTGGTAATGCTGCTGCAGCAGTGCTTGTGCTGGGAGGTTGGGAATATGCTGGAAAAGTAGGTTTGACAGGTCCAATTGGAGCTGATGATGTCATACCTGGCATACCACCAAGGGGCTTGAAATCTGTTCCAACCATACTAGAAGAGGCTGACGTTGTTTCTGGCTGAGCTCTCTGCAATGCGAAAAGGATTTAGTAGTTTTAACCATGTCAAGCACATTAGGTACCATACTACATAGTTGAGAAATTATCCTATACTTACTGATGCGCTGGGAAACAGTGGTTTGGGAGGTGGAAGGTGTGCCATTTGTGCTGTTGTTGCCGGAGGAAACAATCCTCTCTGCTGATTGGGCTGCATACCAGACATATCCCTTGGCTGCATTAGATCAAAGGGAGGTCTCATCATTGGCGGTGCTCCCATGGGTGGCATTGGCATGCTGAGAAAAGAAGACACACTTACAGAATGTTTTTACTTGGTTTAGTATGAATACAGCATGTAGATGAGCTTTACACACATAATAACATAACAAATTACCTTTGAGAGAAACAATGAGGTACCAACTGTTTGAGAGTGGTCCTTTGATTTTGACATTTCAGCTGAAATAAATAAATCTATCACATGAAAAGTAAAGATAAGTAATAATCTCTATTTTAACATGCGCGTCTTCCCTGCCTATGTGAGCTAAATATTGATATTCAACTACTTACCCAGGCCGTGGCGGCACCATGAACGGAGGCATTCCTAGATGCATGCCTTGCATACCAGGATGCATTCCTGGTGGCATACCCGGCATTTGCATACCTGGCATAGGTGGGGGGATCCCTGGATTCATCACAGGGATATTAGGTTGAGTTGTCGGCATACCTGCAACAGGTTGATGGGACATTAATTTTGGTGGCATGGCAGCTGATGTGCTGGCTCCGTCCTGGCTTTCAGGGTGGTGTTCTTGGTTCCTCTTTTCCCTTTCTGAAATAAAATTTGAATGCACGATGAATGAAGATATTTATTTCTCTCATAAATGTGTGGAAGCAAATCAGTCCTCATCTCTGTATACATGAATGCATGTGAAACATTGTAAAACATTCACAGATTTAATAAAAATAGTAAATCGTCTGTCATGCTCAAAATACTTTAGAATACTTTTCTTTTCGTTTGGAATTAATTAGTTCCAAATATTATCCCATGGTGTGATGCGCAGCATGGGAACCTAGGAACTACAAAGTAAGCTGACATTCCACTAGTGATAGCTACATAATTACTACAAACACTTGAATAAATGTTGTCATTGTTGCCACTCATTGTGAGTAAAAAATAAGAAGTACATCTGACCGATATGCATTTACACATTGATATTTGTATTTTGGGACTTCAAAATCAAACGCATGATCGTGATAAGATTCAATATCAAGGTTTTACTTACGTATTTTTTCGTGTCTCTCTTTAATATCTTTTTCGGGAATTCCTTCCATGCCATATATTTCTATTTCTATATCTTGTCTACCAGGTAAGGAGTTAGGCACTTTGTCTACTGTTTCTTTGTGTACCTGGGGGACAAAAATGGTAACAAGTCATAGTATATTCATTACAACAAATTTCTCACTGCTTTTCCCGATGTGAACATGAGTTTATAATGGTATAAATATTAAAATTTGTATCCTACAGCAAGATATATTAAATTTCTTTTCAAAAAATAAGCATGAATCAAATACCAAAACTATTGCCAACTTGAGTTACACAAATCAGGGTTCATCATAATTTAATTTTTTACTGTGCACCTCAGAGCAAAATCAATCTAAAAACAATCCATACTAGATAAATGGTTCACCCAATAATAACTTCTTGCTCTGGTGTAGAGTTTGATGAATTTACAACTACATGTACTGGTACACAAAAATACGAATGCTAGGAAATGAAATGTGCTTACAGGATCACAGAAGAATGTGTCTGGTTGGTTGTATTTATAAAACTATAGGACACATACAATACTGTTGGTTTACAAACGCTTAGAACAAATATAGCATTGCTAATACATGGATGTGCGACCGTTTGGGGTAATCATGGAGGTAGAAAAGAGAAGGAGTGTGGACGCTATTTAAGCCCATGTTAATCTTATAAACATCCTTTGTCTTCGCTCTGGTTAAGCCACTTATTGTTTTTGTTTAGAAGTCGTTTTATCTACATGATGATAGCCGCTTATTTACACAAGAAAACGAGAGTAGAACTGAAAAAAATAAATTCCGTTTAAACATCGTCTATAAAATTGAATGCGCAAACCATAAATAAAAGAATTGTGCATGCGCAATGACCTTTATCGGATCACAAAGGTCATTTCACACTTGTAGGTACCGGAAATTCTGCATACGGACGCCACCAAGATGTGTGATTACTTCTTTTCTGATATTTTACATCGCAATAGTCGTCCAACTTTGGACATTGATTAAAAAAATCCCGCAAATTTCCGCAGTGAAATTTAAATATACATGATAAGATTATAACAAGATGTTTTGACTCGTCATTTTTCATTGGTGTGCAGAACTGTGCAGATGTTTAAAATCGCGCATTTTGTTGTAATAGATTTCGGGCGTTGAGTACACTCAGCGTACGTTTTTCACTGCATTCTGTATTATTGTTATCTGTTTGGGCATGCGCAGTGCGTTGAGAATCTTCGTGAAGCTTCCGAATACACATGTACAGCCGAAACACGTAAGCCGATTAACTGTGACATTGTACAGCGTGTTTGCAAACTAATTACATTGTGTATGTGAGTAAACAAATCCAAAGCATCATGAAACCAGCGGAAACAATAGCGTCATCACTCCTTCTCTTTTCTACCTCCATGGGGTAATGCACAACAAGCCCCACAGACAGATTTGACTTACTTGCATACAATGGATAGCTAAACCAGGACCTGTGTATAATTTCTTATGACATATGTGACATTTGAAATGTTTGGCTTTCTGGTGTTGTATAAGAATCTTCTCATCGTCAAACTCCCTATTACAGTACCTGTATTTTGTAGTTAAGGTTGTTGTAACAACAAATATAACATTAACTCAACAGTGCTGTAATAAAACAGAAGTAGCCAAGATAATATTTTGTCACTTTTAGATCAATTTTGACAAATACACTATGAAGGTGATCTGCTGAACAAGGTGATATTTTTATATTTTTTAAAACAACTTTCGAGGAATGATTTCAATTATCTCGTGCAGAAGGGGAGGAGGCCTTGACAATTTCAAGCTCCTGCAGATTTTTACTCTATTTCAGTGTTACCTGTATGTCAGTACATGTACCTGTGACCAAGCTACAGATATCCAGGCAATTCTGCTCTAGTTTCAGGACAAATCAAAATATGATATATTACTAAACATGTTCTATCTTTAGTTTTTCCTAACCTACAGGAGGATGGTCATAAAGTGCTTCATTATTGGGAGTTTTCTCGCAACTTTCCTCGAATCCTGTGTACCACGATCAACCCATGCTGTATTATTGCAGAACAGCTTGGGGAGTAACAGACTTCAAACGTATATTCGAAGTGACGGTACACTGCAACTACGTCAACATCATTCATGAAAATACAACAAAAGGAATTCACGATTTTACCACAAGATTTTGCGTTGAGGGTCGCATCTACGAAAACCGGTCGTTTTATCATCTAAATACACCTCACAATAGAATAAAAGGATACCAACACCATGGCTTCTGAACTTTCTTCTTCTTACGGCCCATTATGGAACGGATTTGTAAGTTTCAATCAATCAAAAAACGCAATACTCAAAAATGTCGTCCACGCTGCAAACAACCAACAAAAATGGCGTCCCTCTGAAGTGCCCGGATGTATAGTGGGCGATTCCAATGTTACGAGGTAAATTTCTTCCCGGTATTTGTCGGGAATTATAAACTATCATTATAAACTATCATTAGCTCTAACATCAATGAAATAGATTTCAATAAGAAGAAACCAAATGACAGCTTATCACATGAAACCGCACATATATTTTTCATAATGGGCTGACCCTGATTTTTCAGCCCAGCTTCCAAGAAGGCCAGCAATAACAATCAACAAAGTTATCAGCCATTATCCTTTTCCCCACAGTTTTTCTCCCTCAAATTTTTCAGTACTTTTTTCTTATATTCTTCAATATTTCTTGAAATGAACCCTAATTTTGGAGGCTACAGACAAAATTTGAGTAAATTTTCAGTTTTTACTAACAAATTGGCTATTTAAGTCCCAATCTTCTGAAGGAAAGTGAAGACTATATAACATGACTACCAGTATTATGTTAATTTGTGATGAAAACAGAGTACTGGTGGTGAAGAGGTTAATGAATGTGTGCCAGCCATTTGGTGCCCCAAAGTTTATATCTGTAATTTTGTCAATTCACCGATAACATATTCCCACCACCCACCAAAAACACACTTATTATGGCAGAGGCAGTTCAGAGAGAATCCACAATGATGCATTGTGACCATAATGAATGCAATGGTCTATAATATCATTGTTGTTTTCATCTTCATGCCTTATCAACGCATAAATACACATAATGACGCAACTCAGATAATCATATAGTTATCTGAAGAGGCAATAAAAAATGAGAACGTTTCCATTCCATTATGTTGGTTAATACATAGTCCTTGTCTATGATTCACCATGAACCGAAAGCATTGTTTTTTTTTTGACTCAGCTGAGTAGTTCAGTCTTCTATATACAGGTTGTACATACAATAACAATCGGTGCGTTTGTATTAGTACTTTTCCCATTTCCACAAAGGAGAAATTTTTAACTTATAACTATAAAGTGTCATTTAATAAAAAAACAAAGTAATATTACGCCAAATAAACTATTTAATAAAATTTATAATTAATTTATCACTACTTCACTCCAATGATGACAAATTAGGAGAAAATTAGTAATAAATAGTACTGATCGATTTATTTTCAGCCCTCAAGTGAAACTATTTAATCGAGCTTTTGCCGGCTATTGTGGCTCGCCGTCTTCGCGCTTGGCAAACCGGTAGGCACTTGGCTAATATGTCAAACAAACATGTCGGAGGCCAAAAGCTGAAAGATCAGCAACAGTTTAAGGTAACTTTTTAAACAGAATTGTGAAACTGTTCTGCATGTATATTAGCGTGTATATATACAACTGGCAATTCTCATATAAGTGATGTTTGATTGTCCGTTGGGGATTATTTGTTTTCATTGACAATTGGACTGGCAGTTAGTAGAACCAGGAAGTAGTTTAACTTTAGGTCTTGTATGTTGCAATTCATTATTTGTTTTCATTGACAATTGGACTGGCAGTTAGTAGAACCAGGAAGTAGTTTAACTTTAGGTCTTGTATGTTGCAATTCATATTCGGACTCTGATACATTTGCTACAAGCATGGAGCCAAATGCTCCATGCTACAAGGTAAGTAAACAGTGTTGAGTACAAACGAACAAACCGTAGACCATGTGTATTGTCAAGTGGAGGATGAGTCATCGAGTCGTTATTACCACGCCGTTTACAATATTGGGGTGGTAGTACAAAGTACAGTACTACAAATACACACATTCAGTGACAACTTTTACAACCGAAATTGCCGTTGTTCATATACGACACACCGTCAACCGTGTTGAGGGACGGTGTACAACACAAAAACAGTGTTATGGTAATTTTAAAGTCCGCTTGCCGAGCTCTGGTGTTATACGCGTAAAACTCAGTCCGCTTGTGCGTCCAAGGCAATTTCCCGGACATGCTTTGATTGGTCACATTCAAACTTAACACACAGACCATGTATGTACATAATTTTCATTACTATTTGGTTAAATGACTGGTGGCCATTTTTGTTCTCAAATTTGCTAAATTCTGATACTAGTATTTAAATATGCCCGTGGTCGTTCATCAGAGATTAACATGGCTGGTGATTTTATTCAAACTTTGTGTCATGATTATGCATACCGGGTTACAGGTGCATCCACATCATTTTTTTTTTCAAGAGTAAAAAAAAAATGACTGATCATACAGTTTTTTTTCATGCCCATAACGAGTACTCACAAATATATTGCCTTTCACAGTTGAAAATTTGCAAAAAATTACTATACTATGTGTTATTTTTTTATTTGATCTAATTTAAATTTATCGAATTGATGGCCATTTTGTTTAAAAATCTATTTCTTTTAAATGCTTAAAGCAAAATAGTAAAGTTAAAGGGGCACCTTCCAGTTAAGCCTAATCTCACAACAAATTTACTTTCTGGATTAAAATAACAATGGATAACAAAAGATAAATTAACATTGTAAACAACATAAACAATAGTGTCCCATGATTCTTTGGTGCAATCCATGCGATTGAGCGGCTCCCATTTAAGGTAGCGAGAAGGTTTTGTGACGTTTTTAAATAAAACATTCTTTGTCTGTTGTCTCGTTCAGAACAGTAATATATATCAAAAGACTAAGTATAAAGGTGCAAGTTCGCACAAACTGGACAGACATTGTTTACATAATTATCACGTGACATCAAAAATGGCGAACCTTGTAAAAATGACTAAGTCCGCGATTGCGAGAGCACACTGCGGAATTTCCTGGTGAAATTTACGTCATGCATTGTTCGTAATCAAGTCCATTGAAATGCGTCTCCGATAATCAAAAGACCTATTATTCCGATTTCTATGCAGGTTTGTTTTTTTGTCCCCAAATTATTTCATACTTGGCACCTTTAACAGACTATTATTCTGTGACAAAGCATTTTCTTTAAAAACCCAGAC